TTTTTTTTTTTTTTTTTATTTTTTTTTCTTCTTGTCTCAGAAAGAACTCGGACAACATCTGACCAAAGCAAAGGCACTCCTCCATCAGATGCAAGGAAATATCACGAAAGCGTGGACGATGACATCCTTCGCCGCGCGGCTGCTCGTTGCTTTGAACTACCACACCGTCAGCAGCGACACGCCGATTCAGAGCCAGGAGGACGAAGACGCCCGCCGCTGTTTGTTTTCCTGCCACTACCTCGATAAGTCGCTTAGCATGCATCTTCTGCGGCCACCGTCGCTTCCACGGTTGAGATTCAGCCCCGCGTCGCTAAGAGCTACCAATGGCCAGGCGGGGCTGGCGATGATTGCCAAAACAATGTCTGAGTTTGCAGAAGTCCAGGAGGCTGCACTTGAGGTCTTTTTTGCCCAATCGATAGCAGACGATGATGGTGAGGAGAGGGCGGCCAGGCTGGACGCGGCAATTCAGCAGTTGGTTGCGCTGAAGCGGGTGCTTGACGAGGTAAGCGGCACAACTACCTGAGTGAAGATGTGAGGTGCTGACCCTGTAGCGCCGTCTAAACGGCAGTCAGCAGGAATTGGAGCTGGAATGGGATGTCACCGAGTTCCGGTACCACGCGATTATGACCACACTCCTGCAGTACCGCTCCGAGTGGGAGCAGGACAAGCCTGGGAAGAAGGATAAGTGTTTGCAATCTGCGCGACAGGCTCTGGAAGCGCTGCGCCAACTGCAGAAGACCATCAACGCAAGCGATGTATTCAACGGCAGCTATCCGATTTTTCTCTCCTGGTAAGCACGGCCCGTCCTAATTTCTCACAGGGACTAAACATTCACCTACAGGACCATCCTGTTTTACCCTATGACCCCATTTTACGTTATCTTCTGCAACGTGGTGGGCACATCCAACATGGAAGACTACCAGCTGCTGCGCGACACCACACAGGGACTGCAGCAGTTCATCGACTACAACCCGGCCATAGCCCGGCTATACCACCTCTTCACCACCTTCCTCAACTTGTGTAGTCCCCTGGTGAACCCCCCTGTAGTTCAAGAGGATGCAACAACGATTTCTTCGCTGGAGCAGCCGATTGCCATGGATGTGCGGCCCGAGATGGGCCCGTGGTGGAACAGTGCAGACATGTGGGAGTTGTTCAACACGCAGCCCTCGCTACAATGGGTGGATGCAGACAACCTCATTCTCTAGTCACGAACCCCCAGGACCATGGTTTAGCTGCTGCCTGAGGAAGGGTTGCTAACCTATCAACTACCGTATATTTATTAGAGTGTGACTTAGTCAGGTTAGCAGTGTTCTCATTAGCAATCCAACGGGCGCCTCTTAATGCTCCTCCGTACTCTGTAAACACCTATGGGATCAGTTTGCGGGGCGGAATAGAGTCGCCAGCTCCACGTCCAGAGCTGTATCTTGAGTGTTCGTGATGCAACATATGCTTGTCTTGGACGCTTACTACTAGTTATGAATGGAGTATTGCATGTGACGGTAACAGCACCTACATGTATACCTTCAACGTCAAAAGGTTCGTGGGATCCCAAGTCTCCAGGGCCCCTACACGCGACTTGCAGCAGTGTCACACCGGAGCTGGAAAAATGATTCAGACACTTAGAAAAAACACTGATACTGATTAAATTTATATATATTTTTGAGACTAGGTCTAATACTAAGTCAGCTCTAGACGTGATCTGAAATAGCACAAATACCAATTTGAAAAAGAGAGAGAAAAATTCCTAAAAATCTCTAGTGCTCTGAATATTCCTAAAATATCCCAGCAAACACAGGTATGTAAGAGGTAAGTCGATAGATACTCTTCACTTCAAATGCCACTAATACCGAATAGATTACTGCAATTGATACAAACTATAACCTAGATTTGAACAAATACACTCATACAACAAACAGTCCATCAAACACAACTTCAGCCTCCAGACACTCATTCAAGTTGACACAACAGAGAACTAGTCAACACAGTCCGCTATCACCTAACAATCGATGCTAACAGACCCAAACGGAATGCCAATACATCCCTGCACATTGCCCGCAAAGTTCGCCGAACTTCCTTCGCAGTTGTTGCCAGACCAGGTAGTAATCTTGCACTTGTTGTCGCCGGTATCGACGTTGAAAGACGCTCCAGGGAGACTCATAAAGCAGGAGTCTCCAGACCCAGAGATGGCAGGGTTGGCAGAAGAACCCTCGCAGTTGTTGCCGGACCAGGTAGTGATCTTGATGCTTTCGCTGCGGGATGAGAGAGGAGTGGCTTCAGCCGTGGTGGTGAGGGCCAGGACACCCATGGCGGCGAGAGGGAGGAACTGGTGGAGTTGCATTTTGCTTGAGGTTTGGTTTGAGGTCTCTTTAGAGATTGAGATAAAGATAGAGGTCTTGTAGTGATATGTAGATGATTGAGAGATGAGAAGCTGAGCTGGATGATTGTCGAGATTCAGAGCGAACAAGACGGATTTTATACCTCCATCTTCAGCATTCCGCCCCATTCGGATACTTTTCTTTTTCCTACACTTCAGGGCAGTACAAGGGCAAAAACACCCATCTATTCTCCAACGCAGTCATCGTGAACCCATTGTGGTGGCTCATTTCACGCTTCAGTTGAATTCTTGGCCCCTTCTATGGGTGTATGTATTGTTCCATTCTGTATTCGGTATGCTATTCTGCATGAAGTGGAGTTTTGGCCCCAATTGGACGCCTGAGGGGATGGGATATTCGGGCCCTTGCAGATCGGATGGAAGGCCTGAAGCTTTGGCCCCATGGAGCTTACTTGCTGTTTACTGTGTGTTTTGGAGGCTTATGTATTGAGGATCGCATTCAGGGTTAGATTGGGGTGTAATATGCTCTGTTATTATGTGCTTCTCATTTCCACATTATGTTGTTGGTTTGGTTTGACTGCTGTGTTGGCTGAGTGCGCATTAGTCTATGAAGAGATTGCCAAGGAGAAATATCTTTCATTCAGGGGTGGTAATATCTCAATTGCATGTTATGCTAGTATATATGCAAGCTTGATGATATAAGTCTGCTAGATAGTCGACAACCATGATCAGGAGCAGAGCTAAGCAAGCTAAGCACAGCACGAGAAAGTACAATTGTTGGAAGATGCTAGACGTAAGACCGCGCTAGTCCAAAGCGGGCATACAATTGCAACAGGTTCAGAAACTAGTGCGGCATGTCAGATCGGAGCTGGAAAAACAGTTCGGACTGATTCAGAAGAATCCGGATACTCAATGAGCTTATACACATCATCTTATACTTTTTTTGATAGGGGCCCCCAGTTGCAACGGGTTCAGAAATTAGTGCATCAGGTTCAGAGAAATTCTAACACCGGGTGAGCTTCATCACGTGCAAATATACTCGGTATCAGACTGAGTTTTTCTGATTCTGTACCAGCTTTTCTGAACCGAATCAGCTATTATATCTATATTTTTAAAATATCTCACAAAATATTTTTTTGATAATCAGGATATTTAAGGTATCAGGAATTTTTAGAGATTTTTATTTCATTTTTGAATTTTAAATCACGTGCAGAGCTGAATCAGTATGAGAAAGAGTAATAAAGCACGTGTATGAGATTATTCAGTATCAGGATTTTTCTGACTCTGACTGAACTGTTTTTCCAGCTCTGTTCTGACACTGTCGTACTAAATTCTGACCTCGTCGCAACTGGGTGCTCTTTTTGATACTAGAACGGGTTTGCACGTGATTCCTAAGATTTCTTAGAAAGCAATCCTAAAACCCTCTGAAGACCTTAAATAGTAGATATAATAGCTGATTCTGGTTTATGGAAGCTGGTTCGGATTCAGAGAAAACTATCTTTTCACTCTTTTCACGTGATTAAACTCATTCAGTTCCTGAACCCGTCGCAGCTTGGACCCCTCAAGAATGATGACCTGCATACACTGCTTGGTAAGCAACAACACGCCAAGCACAAACCAGCAGATCCATTTACGTGAAGGGTTACTATAACTCAACACAGAAAATAAGCACTAGTAACACCTAGAAACACCTCCCATCCACCAATAATTCTCACTGTCATGACACCATCTGACAAATGTCTGATTTATCAGCAATAGCTAGTTACCCTAGTTATAATCCCATCATGTATAGCTTCAACCAACACTCCATCACATAAATAGTACCCTTAGTATTCCCTCAACTCAATTCCAACCACTACACAACACTCAACCTCACCCACAACACACCAGAAATAAAACACCATCATGCCCCTAAATTACCTCCTAACCGGCAGCACGGGCGGCCTCGGCTCCCTCATCCTGGACTACTTCACCACGCACTTTCCCCCAACCCAAGAATCATCCACAACAAACAGCATCACCTACGCCGCCGCCTCCTCCAACCCATCCAACTCCCATCGCTTCACTTCAAAAGGCATCCCCTTCCGCACAGTCAACTACGACGACCCGGAGACGCTAGACGTTGCTTTTAAAGACGTAGAGAATCTTTTCTTCGTGAGCACGGATACGTTCGACGTCGAGAAGCGCAGAAGACAGCATTTGAATGTGGTGGAGGCGGCGAAGAGGAATGGTGTTAAGCATGTACGCTTACATTTCACTCCGTATAATATTTCCATATGAAAAAGACGCTAATGGTATGATAGGTATGGTACACCTCTCTCGCCTTCGGAGGCCTGGGATCGAATTCCAAGGCCGCGGTGCAGCAGGCGCATTATATGACGGAGGATATGTTGAGAGAGTATACCTCCCTCCCTTTCCTTTCCACCTCCTTGTTTTTATTCACCATTTACTGATTATATTTCAGGTCTGGAATTAATTACACCTCCATTCGCGAAGGAATCTACACTGAAGCATTCCCTCTCTTCTTGAACTGGTATCCCCAGTCAACGACCCTCTACCTGCCCTCTGCATCAGGGAAGATCGCATTCACCCTTCGGTCTGAACTAGCGGAAGCAACGGCTAAGTTGATTTTAAAGGGCGGTCACGACAAGGAGGTTGTGTTGTTTACTGCGTCGGAGCCTGTTTCTATGCAGGAAATAGTTGAGGTTATTAATGAAACGACTCATCGGGAGGTGAAGATTAAGATTGTCGATCCGGAGACATATGTACGTGTCAACGCGGAGAATGATATCGGGGGCAAAGCGGAGGGATTCTTCCGGCAGTTGGTGGGGTGGTTTGAGAGTATTGAGAATGGGGAGGCCGGGTTTACGGATGGGTTGATGGGTGAGGTTTTGGGGAGGGAGCCGGTGACGCCGAGGGAGGCGATTAGGGGGTTGTTGGAGAAGGAGAAGGATTATACATGGCATCAGAATTATAGCAAGTAATCGGTCGTTTGTATTCTTGTTATATATAATTACAGGTATAGTTTAATGATGCAAACTTTTAAGATATGTAGAGATATTCTCTTCATCACACGCGGTTGTCCTCCTCCCGGTCGTGTTGCGGATACCCCGTGTGCGTGTCGCGATACACCGTCGCTTCTCCGTCACCTTCTTTCTCTAAAACCTCTTCCTCGTCTGCTCCCCAGGTTGATTCTCGCATGAATGGACTCCGTCGGCGGATCTCTGGCCCCTTCCATACTAGCACTACAGGCACAACTGACAGTGCCAGCCCGATGAACCCCAGCAATGACCCGGCCCAGCCATATCCCAGGTTCTGGAATAGCTGGTAACTCGCCAGCGGTAGGAACGCGCCAAAGGAGTTTCGTCCCAGAGATGCCGCAGACAGAGCTGATGCGGCATACTTCTCGTACGCATCCGTCAAGTAATTCACAACAGCCATGTAGATACTGTAGATGCCAATACCGGTGGCCCCGATGCCGAGGGTCGGGACAATCCAAGGCACAGAAGGAAAACTGGCCCAGCCATACCAGAACAGCCCGCCTGCGAACAGCAAGCTGCCAATAATACTAGTATACAGACGGGCCTCCGGGATGGGCTTTCCGGGCTTCTCTTTGTTGCGTTTCGCTGACCGCAAATACAGCATATCCTGAAGAGGATTGACGAGAGTACCGATAAGAGCACCCACGGAGATGGCCAGCTGAATGCACCCAGTTTGCAGGGTATTCATGCCGTAGTTGGTGGAGAAGGTCTGAACGACACTGCTGAAGAAGAGATACAGGATACCCCAAGCGAAAGAGATCCAGAGGGTGAAGAAGGCAACAACAGGCTCGGTGAGGAGCATGCGTGTGGGCCGTTCGAAGGAGATCTGCATCAGACGCCAGACGCTGGTGTTGTCTAGCTCGGCTTCGGCGTAGATGGGGCGCTGCTTCTCTTTGCGGAGCTTCTTGGCCCGACGGGTGAGGATCACGTCTGCGCGGGTTTCGTACAGGATGAACCAGAAGATGGGTAGGAGCCCTGTTAGGTAAATAATTTGGATGTAGAAGATCCAGCGCCACGGAGCGGTTTTGTGGATGGCTACGATGGCGGATCCGATGAATGGGCCCAGGGCGATTCCAACCACACTGGTAAAACCGAAGAGCGACATAGGGAGACTCCTCGCTTTGTCACCATACCAGACATCACTGATGCTACCGCCGACGATGTTGATCGACACGGAGGACGCACCACCACCGAAGAAACGCGTCACTACGAGAGTAGCGTAGTTTTGGGCGAAGGCGGAGGGGAATAGCGAGATGATGAGAATAATGTAGGCGACAAAGTAGCCGGGCATGCGACCGGAGGATTCGGTCAGAGGCACGAATATGAGAGGCCAGAACGCCGCACCCATGTTCCAGGATGTTGTGGCCCAGTAAAGGTTAGGAAATGGGGTGTTTTGGACGTGGAATCGTTCTTCCATCCAGTTGTTGCCGGAGCCGTAGGAACCGGCCGGGATACCAGTGAGAATGGAACTATACCTATTAGCGCTGCCATCTTCGAGAACAAGGCTAAGACATACATGAAACAAACAGTGACCGTGAGAAGCCATTTATAAGAGGTGCTCCAATTGAACCTGACTATGTTAAACTCGTATACTAGCAACTGCATGCTTGACGTACGGATTGTCCGGGTCATTCTTGCCGTTCCAGGTATGGATCTCAAGGTCCTCCCTGTCACGCAGATCATTGTGGCTGACTACCCCGACATGGGGGTCCCGGCGAAAGAACGACCGTACCCTGCAACGTCACTTAGTGGCTGTCTGACAGGGATTGATTGGCAATGATTGGCAGACTAACCGTCCCAGAAACGAATCATCGAATTCATTGGTGTGCACCGTGCTAGCGCGGCGCAGCGACGGGCGTGGCTCCTCGGCAGGGGTGGACATGACTTTCTCTGTGTAGATTCCTTGCAAGGTATCTGCTTGACAGATGCAGAGATGATGTTGAGTAAAATAGGGTGCAGAGACCCTGCAGAACCTGCATCGGCCGGCGGCGACATGTCGTCATGACCGACCCGGGCCGAGCGGAATTAATGAAACTCGGAACAGCCAGGGGAATCCGACGCTTTGAGTGGTCAATCCATGTCTATCCACATCTGCATTGAAGTGGATGAAAGGTGGAGGAGGGCTGGTTGCCAAATTCTGTTAGGGCTTGGAATGTAAGCAACCGGTTTCGGTCATGACATCATCACAGCGATGACTTCATCACTCTCGGACGAGCATATATAGTTGTGCCTGTCGTCGTATCTCGACAACATCAACAACAACAACAATCATCTACTGCATTTACCAAAGTCATCTCTACCTCAATCAACATGCCTATCTCCGTTCCCTCCGCCTCCAGCGTCCACGACCTCTTCAGCCTGAAGGGCAAGGTCGTCGTTATCACCGGCGCTTCCGGCCCTCGCGGCATGGGCATTGAAGCCGCGCGTGGCTGCGCCGAAATGGGCGCCAACATCGCCCTCACCTACTCTTCTCGTCCTCAGGGTGGTGAGAAGAACGCCGAAGAACTTCGCAACACCTACGGTGTCAAGGCCAAGGCCTACCAGTGCAACGTGGGCGACTGGAACAGCGTCAAGAAGCTCGTGGACGACGTGTTGGCCGAGTTTGGCCAGATTGACGCCTTCATTGCCAACGCTGGCAAGACGGCCAGCAGTGGTATCCTGGATGGTTCCGTTGAGGACTGGGAAGAGGTCATCCAGACAGACCTGACGGGAACCTTCCACTGCGCCAAGGCGGTGGGCCCGCACTTCAAGCAGCGCGGAACGGGCAGCTTCATCATCACCTCCAGCATGTCGGGTCACATTGCCAACTTCCCGCAGGAGCAGACTTCGTACAACGTTGCCAAGGCAGGCTGCATTCATATGGCCCGGTCATTGGCCAACGAGTGGAGGGACTTTGCCCGCGTGAACAGCATCTCCCCGGGTTACATCGACACGGGGCTGTCGGACTTTGTGGATAAGAAGACTCAGGATCTGTGGATGTCGATGATCCCCATGGGACGCAACGGTGATGCCAAGGAGCTGAAGGGCGCATATGTCTATCTCGCCAGTGATGCCAGCACATACACGACGGGTGCCGATTTGGTCATTGACGGAGGATACACCGTGCGGTAAATTATCCGCGGTCGGATAGAAAATAATGTTTATGACATGTATGTAATGAATATGAATGTTCAACAATAGTCTTCAATTCTTCACTTGCTAGTATCTTGAGTATCTTGTCGTATAGCTCAACAACCTGGCATGTTCGGGCGGGCAGTGTAGCTCTCCAAGTCTATGGATACAACTTGCGTCAGTGTGGATCTTTGGCTCAGATTCGGAGGGGCAGTGGGGTAAACAAGAACACGCAGCCACTCTCGGCTTTGCGGATCCCCACGGAACGCCAGTCAACCCTGAAGATTCAGTCTGGGCCTGGGCTCAGACTGATTTGGTGAGGGGATTCTGCATCCGTCCAAACCTTATCATCGTTGGTGAGACGGACTCCGGAGAGCCAGGAGCATGATTCAGTGGCTGCTTTCTTTTGTTCTCTCCAGTGCACTCCAAATTATGTTCATTCCCATCTTACGCTGCCAGTTGGACAGCCAAGATATATGGATCAGTGAGAAAATATGGTAATGAACTATGATGACATCTAAAAGTGGAGTGGACGTTGGCGAGGTTGATATTTAAACCCGTAAAACCGAGACAAATCGAGCAACACCACATCCGGTCAGGTGACCTACCTATCCTAACAAGTGAACATTGGCTGGAGAGAAATCAAGGGGTGCATACGAAACATGTCTGATTCAACTAACATCAAAAAAGCTATGTAATCCTCAATTCAAGCATGTCATAATCATCAATCATAACCCTCAACTCTTGCCCACCTTCGCATCGGCCACCTCCTCCGGATCATCCACCACCTCTGCCAGATGCATCCGCGGCAATGTCCTCGCCAGTCGCGGAGGGTCAAACACGCTCTTCGACTGCAGGAAAATTTCGTCGATCTCCTCCAGCGACCGACCATTCGTCTCCGGGAAGAAGAAGTACACGATCGGCACAATCACTGCGTTCAACACCGCGAAGATGATGTAATATTGGTATCCGATCGTATCGAAGCCCACCGGGGTCACTTCAGCTAGGAGGAAATTGAAGGTCCACACGGCCGCTGTTGATACGGCACTGATGGCCGCTCGAAGTTGCAGCGGTGCGACCTCCGTCGCGTACAGGAAGGTCAGGCCCGAGTATCCGACGGTGAAGATGAATTCGAACACGAAAAGGAACACCACCGCTACGACCAGCGCCGCGGTATCGTTGGATCGAGACGTGGTTCCCGCCAGGATAGCCATCGAGGCGGACATGCCCACAGCACTCCACAGCATCAGGACTCGCCGACCGAGCCGGTCAATCGTGAAGAAAGCGAGGAATCCACCCAGTGGCTGGGTGAGGCACATGGCGGCAGCCAGAATGCGTGATGGTATGGCATCCAGGCCCAAGTACTGTTGGAAAATGGTGGTTGCGTAAAAGGTGATGAGATTGATTCCGCACATTTGCTGGAACATCTGACCTGCTGCAGCCAACACCGTCCGATGGAAGAGTCGCTGTTCGCCCATGCTCAGCATGTCCTTCCACGACCCCGATCCCGAGAGGGCCAGCGACCGCTCAATGTCGCGCACAGCCAGCGTGATGCTTTCGTCGTCCGGATCGAGGTCGGCCAGCGCAGCCAGGATCTCGCGGGCCTCCTCGGTCCGGTTCCGCTTTATCAGCCACCGGGGCGACTCTGGGAAAAATATGATGAAGGCCATCACCATGAGTGACAGGACGATCTGGAAGGCTAGCGGGAACCGCCACGACACGGAGTTACCCGTAACGAAGTAGAACCCGAAGTCAATCCACAGCGAGATTGTGATTCCCGCCCCAATGAAGATACCGTCCGTCACTACATGGGCACCACGCTTGCCCGCCTGCGAGATCTCGGCCTGCCACACGGGCACGGTTGCAACATAGCCGCCTGTTCCCAGCCCCAGCACAACACGTGCCACGATGAATTGAGCCAGTCCGAAGGAAGTGGCCATCAGCAGGGCCCCAATTATCGAGATGGCTGAAGTGAGAAAGATCACCTTTCGCCGGCCGAGGAGATCACCGAGGTAGATGCATGACAGGGATCCGAATATGCCGCCGACGGTGTACAGTGCGACCACCGTACCTGTGGATGGTTAGACCGGGAGAGGGAGGGCAGTTGTGAGGGAGCGGGCGCCTTACCCTGGATGGTGGAGTTGTAGTGCTGCTGGGCCCCAGTGGTGGTCAAAGTGTTCATCTGGGGAAACGTCTCCGCAAACGACTCCAGCGTGAGGAGACCTCCCGTCACTCCCTGGTTGTATCCATAGCACACAAAGGCCGGGCAGACGACCAGCCAGATGATGGCGCGATTCAAAAGAGCGCCGCGTAGGCCGAAGTATGGTTGCATGGCTAAGACATGCAGTAGAAGATTCTATGCAACGATCGCGACATCAGCCAGGATGTCCCCGCATGTAGTGATCAATTGGACTTGGCTCACGCCGCTGAACCCTGGTCTCCGGTGCGGACATTTTATAAAAAGCGTCCCAGCAATTGCAGATGGGTCGGCCATCGGCGGCGCCCGTCTGTCGCGTGGACTTGGGGCATTCCGGACTAGAAGAGGATTCCTGTAACCGAAGCTGTGCCAAAGTCAAAGGATCGCAAGAGACAGGCATCGATCGCCAAGCTGGCAGACGTCTTGTCCTTTTCCCCGCTGGAGAATTTGGGGATCGTCGTTGGACTTTTCTCCACCTGCCGGCTGCCTTTCCATCGGATCCGGCCGATGGGGTTGTTGGACCTCGGGTCAACAGCCAGTCGGGAGTCCCTGGGCCGCCAAGCCCAACCCCAGAAGCCTCATTGAATTTGGTAATGGCCATTGTGGGAGATAAATAGATAAAGAGGGCTGGTCGATGCCCCATACTTGAGATAACAATGTTTCTGCAGTGGCGGTGGTCCGATATCGCAAGAAAGGTGCTGAGGGTGAAGCAGCTAGGAGTATCCCGATCATGTCTAATTAAGCGATGTAAGCAGAACGCAACTCATATCTCAATCGGTTACGGCGCAGCATGTTTGTCAATCATTCCAATTCCGTGACAGCGAAGCTTAGGCAATTGCAGCCCATGTCTGGCTTGGCCAACGCAATCTGCATTGAGATCTGCGAACGGCACGGATACAATAGCCTGTTCGAACAAGTTAGCTACTTTTCGACCACTGAGCGTCTGTACGAATGACTGACTGAACCTTCGTTCCCCTACCTCGGCTATTTTGTTGAATATCGCCAGGTTCCGACTAGCGTGCATGCCGCCAATCGCCAGGTCTTTCAGATGCCTGTGTCTCTGGCACAAGAGACCAGGATGGGGGGTGCCGTAACTATAAAATACTGGGGGCTGTCTTTATCTCGAGCTTTATATGGTCGTTCCCGTATCAGTTTCAAGATATGGCTCAGGGCCATTATTGGTGCTCTGATAACGATTTTGCCTAACGGGATAAGGAATCCTCCGTTGTGTGCAAAGGGCGATACGAGATCGTCAACGGACGGCATGTGTGATAGACATCGCGGGAAAAGTCAACTCCACACGATTGGCCACGGTTTCGTCATGACATAATTGGTATGTCTGGCTGGAATGTCCTATGTGGTACATGAGGGGTAATAATACTTTGGGTCAAGTGACCAAAGTTGAGCTGCTGTCAATTTGCGAGTGTTGTACTGGCAAGTGTGATGCCAAGAGTGCGTTCCTGGATCAAAGGAAGTGGGGTAAACGGGAAAGGAAGATAGAGAGAACAGGTAAATATAAATGGCGGAAGTCTCATTTATAGTAGTTGATCATGGGATTGCACGCGGCGGAGAGGATTGCGTTGCGGTCATTGCTTTGCAGCAGCTCATGTGCCCCGGAGGCTCGCAGTCCTGATATGGTAGTCATCTGCCAAAGGTGAGGCATTGACAGCGGTATCCCTATTGTAGGGCTGGCAGTGTGATGGTGTACTAGACAGATCCCTACGCATTTTGTGGGTTCCAGGCTGGTTTTCTCACTACTAATGTTCCAGCCACAGATGCACCGATAAATGTTGCTAGTACTTGGTAGTTATATATATGTCAGCAAGTACTACTGGTAATACCGCAACAGCTTATCAGTGTGAATATCAAGAGTGATAGTAGGAACATCTCTACGAGCTCATCGGTATTATAAAGACCATGAAGCGCAAGGTTGCAGAATACGAGGGGATAGGATACTGTTGCGACAGACCGACTGCTTTGCTATGGCTGAGACTCGAGCCGTGAGCGATGATCGGGAGAACCAAGGAAATGTGAACTTTGATTCTATGTTAGAATATATTGCCAGGGTACCGCCGACTATACATCAACTGGGTCCCATAGCTCAGTTGGTTAGAGCGTGACGCTAATAACGTCAAAGTCGAGGGTTCGAGCCCCTCTGGGACCATCTCTTTTTGCTTTTTTTTTCAATTCCTTTCTGTGTGCCCCGAGCCATTCTCCACCGGCATGCTTGGCGTGTTAGTGGGATCTGCTAATGATGTCATTTTTCTTGTTGTGTCTCACTCACGCTCCACCCCTCACGATGGTTTAGGCCGCTGCAGCTTCTCCAAATCATTTCCAGTTACATATGTTCGATAGAGATATTACACACTATATACAATAGCAATGTAGCCACAGTTGATCACCACGTTCTTTCCCAATACGTATTACATATCAACCAGCCTTCCAAAGAACAGCTAATACATACAAACAATATCATCCCTCCCTCGCAACTTGGAAGAAGCACAATCAATCAAACCTGTATTATACACAACAAATGTACCAACGCAACTACCCCAATATTACCTACCCCCTTTCAAAGAATGTAGCTACTACTTGATCTCAACAATCTTCCTCTCCTCCTCCGGCTCCTCCTCCACCTTCGGCACCTGAATCGACAACACCCCATCCGTCAACTTCGCATCCACATGCTCCCGATCCACCTTGGCCGGGAAACTAAACGAGCGACGAAACTCCCCCATCGCACGTTCCGAGAACCACCAGTTCCCATCCTCCCCCTCGGTGCTGCGCACACTGCGACCCCTGACATTCATCGTGCTGGGATCACTGAATTCAATAGTGACGTCTTCTTTCTTGACGCCGGGCAGGTCGCCATCTAGGATGTATGCGTCTTTGGTTTCGCGGAGGTCAAAGCGCGGGGAGTTGGGGAACAGGGAGTCTGCAGCGGTGGATGTACTAGTGAGGTAGTTGTCTAAATCGGTGAAGGCACGCAGGAGGGAGGGGACGGGTCGGGGGTGGTGTGGCAGGAGGGACATTGTTCGAGGGGTTGTTGTTTGTAGGTTCCGTAGATGGTGGATTGGATATGTGGTGATGGTTGGGGGTTTTCTGAGGATGTGGGTTGTTTGTTTGAGCATTGTTGGGGGTCTTTGCTGTGGTGGGTGTAAATGTATTTTTTGAGTGATAACTTTTATCTGCACATTATTGTATGCGGTGGAACGCGAAGGACGAGATGGTGTGGTCGAGAAACATGCTGTCATTTGTACCCCGGGTGGCTCGCGAGGAGTCCCTTCGGATAGAAACTACTAGAGAGTGCATGCTCCTTCCTTTGCTTTCTGAACATGCATCATGAGATGGATCTTGAAGATGGGGTCCCAAACTTAGTGGAAATCCGGGGATGCGTGGGGTTGGCAGTCAAGGTTGTCTTGGGGGGTGCCGTTCCATGGTTGAGGAACCACGCCTGGAAATCTATGCCGGATGGCATGATGACAGGCTTGTGACTTGTCGTATCCAGAAGATTCTGGTGCGACAAAAGTGAAAAAGAGAACATCATGAGCCATAGGACTAGGTGGAATATGTACGAGGAGAAATGGAGGTACAGCGCCGAACACAACGTCAAATCAACCAATCCTCATCGCCGCCTCCGCCAAACTCACACTCCCCAATTCCTGGTTTCTGATTACACTGACCAAATAGTTCACTCCATAATCTGACGCCGCATGCACCACCACATTCTCGCCAAATCCGCAATCCCGTTCCCCCTCCCCGGCCTCCACATACGCCGCATAACTGCCCTTCAGAATGCCATCTTTCTCCGACAGCAAGACCTCCTTCGCGTATTTTCGGGCCTGCATGTAATCTGTAAATGTGCCCTGCACTATTACCTCCCGCACGGTACTTTCCCCTTCAATAGCATCATATTCCACATTCGCCTGCACGACGTAGAACAGCGGGATGGAGATGCGGCCATCGTCGAGATCGGTGGTCAGCTGGAGCTTGTTCGTGGTGGTATCGATGCGGACGCGGAAGGTAGTGCCGTCTGGCGCAACGGCGTAGATGGCGAGTCCTGTGCGATCGGGGAGGTTTTCTTGTTCGAAAATGTGGGCACTAGTTTCATAGGTTGGAAAGAAGTCACGCTCGTAGCCGGCGTCGTAGAGACAGCTGTGCGCCGCGGCTTTGGCGGCGAGTAGGCTGGTGTAAGTTCCAGGGATACGGAGGATTTCGACGAGGTTATTGGGGTTCTTGTTGAGGCGAGTGATGGTTAAGAGGACGTGATAGAGGTGCTCAGGGATTTTGGAAGGCATTATGGGATCTGTGGTGGTTGAGCTGGAGGTGCAGTATTGAGAAAGGGATGAAGCAGTCGTAGTCGCTTTGAAATGTAGGGGTTCATTTGGTGGAAGACCATTCACGGGCCCTCCATGCTTTTAGAACTATCTGGTGAGGCCTAGACGTGGCTATGGAAAGTCTAATTAGCGCGGTGCGTATAGCTGCTGATATCGGAGATTTATCCCCCAGATGCCTGGGATGATGATTTTACCATGTGGCCTGACTATGCTTGCACGCTGTGAATGCTCCACAACAGGCACCTACTGCATTGACAGCTGGAAATGGACGCGTCACTATGACCAACCCCAGATTGATGCCATGATTAGTGGGATCAGAAACCAAAAGTTTATTTGTGATGCTCCCCTGGAAGCACAAGGCAGAAGGTACCCGGCTGGCTTTATTTCATGGTCGGCCCAATGCTATTCCCCAGACACCCCCCGCATTTCCTCCTTCCTCTTTTCTCACGCAAATTTCGTGCGATTTCTCGAAATCCGGCATTCCTTCGGCCGCAAGACCATGTCCCCCGGGCCTGTTATATTGATGGACCTCCCTATGGAACGATATATCCCTCGCTCCCATCCCCTTGAAGACATCCTCAGCAATTCCTACTATACAGGGTAGAGATCCCCAGAAGGGGAGCGAGGAAGAACAATGACGGAGCCAGGCTCGCAAGAGACTCCATACCCAGAACCAGGAGAACCACCAGCCCCCGATAAAGCCCTTCAACTCCAAATCCTCCTCATTCTTTGTCTGAGTGTTTACATAATCACTGCAATCTGGTATAACTCCAGCTTCTATCTCGCTCCTCCTATCTGATAGAAGCTGTACTAAAATTGGATAACATGGTGCTATAGTCTTCTCCTCAAATCCTACTGCATCGCATATGGCACCCTCGACTTCACCTCGACGCCTGCCACAACTCCGGACCATACAGCCGCATGGAACTCCCTCCAGCGCCTGAAGTCCCTTAATCGCGTCGCGCCCCTCAAGCGTTATGATTCGTGGTATATCTCAGCTGTTTGTCATGAAAGGAGTCCGTTACTAAGTAGGGATTGGGAGAATAGTATCTGGTTGGTCCATTCTTCACGTTGGCTTTTTGACTATGGTTGTGATTGATCGTGACTTTATTCAAGCGGACACTAACAGACATCATGCTTGTAATTATAGTGCAATATGCCTCGAAACCGTGAACAAAGATGATGTGATACATGCACTGCCTTGTAAGCATGTCTTTCATAGACAGTGCCTTGAAACCTGGTTTCTCGATTATCACAATGCGTGTCCCGTTTGCTGGAGGGTGTTTTTTGCTTGAACATTACCGACGACTGGCTGTGACCATGAACTTTGCTTGATGGACTTCCCACAAGGGTGGTTGAGTTGTATGTTTCTCATATATTGTCGGGCATGTGCATAGGCATCATGGTATATTTGCATTCGATTATAGTAACTACAGTGAGTTAAGTACTGTATGAGACTAGTTGCGCCATGGGATAAATCTACCATCCGCAAAGTTGTTTCAGGACCAATTTAGCCGAGTCCAGGTATACTCGTAGCTACCTCCAAGCCTCAATGCCGACCAGTTTCGTTGGAGTGCTGATAACAGAAAGAATCAAGCAAGCAATAATAAGGTGTAAGTAATGTACTTCCTATTTGGAAAGACAACGTGACCTTGGCTCTCGATCCTCAATTCCCACACTTTCCCTCCTTTACCCCTTCGAGAATTACATCTCATCCAGCGCGCTCTCTGCTCTCTATAGTATCGTTCGATTTGTATTTGGTGGTTCTATCTTACTACCAAAGAAACACCTAACGAGATGATGGAAGACGCCCAGCGACACTCGCATTCTGCAAGGACAGCAACTAATTTCTGCAAGTTTCCAAAGATTGTAGGCCCATATAAGTACTTTGTTTGACGCTTCTCTGTTGGTAAGCTCCTTAATTCTTCGTAACGCCCGGATACATGCTTATTGAAGACCTAGAAAACAAGACCCTACTAGTTTCGTTTCTAGAAGCACTTCCCGTGGCGGAGAACATAATACGCTGGTTGATCTGCTTGACGACCGCGTTGTCTCCATGCCAGAGCATGACTCCCCCCTCGATATAGCTGGCTTCTACAACCTTGAAAATAGGGGTAATGGAGCGAATCCGGCTAGAAGAGGGTAATGAACGGGACAATATGGTTCACCTGCCATGTTGGTATATTGTGCGCGCCGGTGGCCTCCGATGCACCAGCCTCAGACATAAACTTTTTACGCCAGCACTACTTTGTCCTCCTGCTCCAAGGAATGAATCCAATAGGAGGAATGTCGATATTCGCGCTCGATAGCATGACTCGGATATCGAGAATACCGGGCTGAGGTTGTTGCAGGTGGGAAAATTTGCTCAATCTCTATCGATAAAAACGTAATTTGATGAATGGCCTTTCTCTAACTAACCGCCCCTATCCACTGCGTGACCAGTATAGTCCACTGCATTCGCTCACCGTTAGCCAATGGCTTCCTCCTTTTTCGTCAATATTTCCCTCTTCTTGACTGGCCCCACTCCAGGTTGCTTATTGCCGGCAAGCTTTCGACCCTGATTAGCGAGCTTTGCGCACTATTCCTGATTTAGCTGTCGAAGGAACGGATGGACGCTGCGCTAGTTTCATTTCGAATCTCTGATATTAACATTAACTACAGACTAGCCGATTCCGCTCTGGGATCTGGCACACAGGGAGTTTATGGACCGTTCATTGGTGGAACTAGCAAGGCACCATAATTGCCGCGGACCCTGCATTTCAGACTGTTGCCTTACTAGGATTAGTATAGCTGTCCCTCTCGCACTCGTATACTGCAGTACCGGCCTGGAATTTCGGGATCAACGATGGCATCCGCTCCCTCCAGGACTTACGGCTGCTTGTGAAGGCCAATTATAGTGTTGCTTGTTTACGTGCCAATTCAGCGGTACATACAAACGCTTCTCTATCTTGCCCTTTTTGACAATAGGTTTACCCTCGGGAGGGGAGCTTTGCCTTCTTTCCACCGACATGCGCATCCGTTCCATCACCCGCGGAACCCGTCGGCTGATCAGCCACGCACGGCTGGTATAAATTAATCGGCCACTCATGTCGAACTGAGGTTCACGGGAAAACGCAATATTTGAGACAACACCTCAATATGAAACGAGGATCCAGGGTCCTAGATTTCCTCCAGGGGCTGTCGGCAGTTATGAACTTTTCGACCGGAAAAGATTCGCAATAGTCGTGAGTATAAGAACCTCGTACCTGCTCACACTGATGTCAATTTGCTCATCATTCCACACTCATTCAAAATCTTACCAACAACACTCCTTCTGTCATTCTTTTCTATTGTTAACAATTAATCATGCACTCGATTGCTTCTCTTCTCGCCTACGGCCTGGTCGCCGGCGCCACCTTCGCTTCTGCCTCTCCTATCGAAGCTCGAGACAGCTGCACGTTCACCACCGCTGCCGCTGCTAAAGCGGGCAAGGCGAAATGCTCTACTATCACCCTTAACAACATCGAAGTTCCAGCTGGAACCACCCTCGACCTGACCGGTCTCACCAGCGGTACCAAGGTCATCTTCGAGGGCACCACGACCTTCCAGTACGAAGAATGGGCGGGCCCCTTGATCTCCATGAGTGGCGAACATATCACCGTCACTGGTGCCTCCGGCCACCTCATCAATTGCGATGGTGCGCGCTGGTGGGATGGCAAGGGAACCAGCGGAAAGAAGAAGCCCAAGTTCTTTTACGCCCATGGCCTTGACTCCTCGTCTATTACTGGATTAAACATCAAAAACACCCCCCTTATGGCGTTTAGTGTCCAGGCGAATGACATTACGTTCACCGATGTTACCATCAATAATGCGGATGGCGACACCCAGGGTGGACACAACACTGATGCGTTCGATGTTGGTAACTCGGTCGGAGTGAATATCATTAAGCCTTGGGTCCATAACCAGGATGACTGTCTTGCGGTTAACTCTGGCGAGGTAAGCAGCTCTGCATATATGCTTGATTCGGAATTATATTGATATTCTATAGAACATCTGGTTCACCGGCGGCACCTGCATTGGCGGCCACGGTCTCTCCATCGGCTCTGTCGGCGACCGCTCCAACAACGTCGTCAAGAACGTCACCATCGAACACTCCACCGTGAGCAATTCCGAAAACGCCGTCCGAATCAAGACCATCTCTGGCGCCACTGGCTCCGTGTCCGAGATTACGTACTCCAACATCGTCATGTCCGGCATCTCCGATTACGGCGTCGTTATCCAGCAGGATTACGAAGACGGCAAGCCTACGGGTAAGCCGACGAACGGTGTCACTATTCAGGATGTCAAGCTGGAGAGCGTGACTGGTAGCGTGGATAGTAAGGCTACTGAGATCTATCTTCTTTGCGGGTCTGGTAGCTGCTCGGACTGGACCTGGGACGATGTGAAGGTTACCGGGGGGAAGAAGTCCACCGCTTGCAAGAACTTCCCTTCGGTGGCCTCTTGCTAGGCTGCTAGGTTGGTGAGTTGTAGCCCTAGCTGAAATTCGTCTGCTTTGTCTACATTGTCTACTTCATCTGCTTCGTCTACTTGGTCCACTTCGTCTACTTCGACTGGTTAGATGGGCCTTGTAATAGTTTTTAGAGAAAACAGATTATGTACAGTAAGCCTTAGAGGTGGTACCGAGGTGTATATTTAGTTAGAATGTTACCTATCGCGTGTATTTATATTCATGGCCTCTTACATATATACGGAGCTACAGTGACAGTGGATTATCCTCCCTTACAGCTCACACTCATCGTGCTGGGAAACTACGTGATCAAATGCTCGGTAGAAGGACTTGCTCTCAGCCACAACCAACCAGGAACCTCGGCAGGTACCATGCTTTGAGCGTTTTTGTCTGGCCCTATCTCTTTCTAGATGGTGGTCTGGATGAGTCACGGCACGAGTAGATTGACCGCTACTCCAACCCGCGCATAAAGCATACGCCAGAAGTGCAAGGGATACAAGACAGCCAGCTGTAGAAAGACCATTGGCTATACGAATCAACAAGTACTAAGTAATCGATAACATGACACGAAGATAATAAACACGAATATCAGACAAGATATCTATGAATGTTCGACCATATAATTGTTTCGTATCGTTCTGCGCTGGAATGAGAGACCACACTGCACAGTCTCCGAGCAAACATTTATTCGTAACCAGTCTCTAACATAGATACCCCGATCCCTCTTTTACACCTTCGCAAACTCCCTCTCCATAAACTCCCTCACAGTAATAAGCGTCTCCCTCCCCTTGCCCCCCTTCGCCTTAAACGCCGCCTTCTTCAACGCCGCAGCCGTCTGGATCTCCGTAGGCCCGTTCCCAAAATACTCCCCATCCCGAAACTGCGAATAAACAAAAACATCCCGCTCCTGCTCGCGCCAATACTCCCCTTTCGTATTTATATCATTCGGGTCCGCCAGAACCTCATAGCGGGCTTTTTTGCCAGTGACTACCACCCATCACCGTTAACACCCACCCCAACCACTCATCAGGGTATCAACTCACCAGAAACAAACGTATTCACCACCTCCGCCGACGAAACAATATCACTCGACCCCTGAATCAGGCGTCTATTCCACCGAAGCGGATTAACAAATACCCCATGAACCAGATCCCCAAAGTCATCTTTCATGCTGATCCAGGGGAAATCCTCTTTGCCGCCCCAGAAGGGCGTCTTGTATGTTAGATATCCCTCGGAGTCAGGGAATGTGGGCCATCCGCCGAATAGGTCGGCGTAGTCTGGCTCGAGCCAGTTCTCCATGAACCAGGCGGCTACGATGGGGGTCACGGATTTGAAACCCTTTGTGGTGTAGGCCTGTCGCTCGACTTGGATTTTTACTGTTTTTTTTTTGTCTCTGTTAGTCAAATGAGATATAGACTGGGCTATCGAATTAGTAAGGATGTATGTGATACTAACAATCAAGTCCAGGACATTGCACCGCCCCGTTCGTCATTTCCGAGATCGCAATACCGGAACTATACACTAGATGCTGGACGCCAGATAAGGCGGCGCATTCGATGATGTTGCTGCCTAGATCGGCGTCATTGAGGCCTTTGGATAATAGTTCCTAGAAAAAAAAAAAAAAAAAAAAAAAAAAAAACAAAAAAAAAAAAAAAAAAAAAAAAAAAAAATCAATACTACTGCCCAGGTAGTCAGATGACAAGGAGTGAGAGGGGATACCGGATCCTCCGAATTCGTATTCACAAACGCCCCCCAACTACCCGAAAACGCGTGCTGGAGTTCCTGTCGATTGAATCCATCGGCCTTGACCAGCTCTGCTCCTAGGGAAGCGAGTTCTTTGGCTTTGCTCGACGTTGGGTTCCTGGTTATGGCGCGGACGTGAAAGGTAGGGTTTTGCACGAGGGAGCGGACGACGGAGCTGCCCTGGCGGCCTGAACGAATATATAGACATTTAGTTAAGTGTAGAATGAGGGGTGAGGGAGGTTAAGCACCGGTTGCACCGAAGACGGTGATGATTTTGGTGGAGAGTGTCATGGTGGAGTTGTGTGTCTTGCGATAGCTAAAGTATGCGCGGGAACTGAGATCAATTACTACTACTACATGAGATGTATATATATAATCCTCTTAGCTATTTACTACCAGATGGATGGTAACGTTGCTTGAGTCTAGAACTTTTCACCGCCGTTGTTTTGTGCATACTTCTAGAATGTTGGATTGTCTCACTACGGGTCTAGCCAGTTCAGTGATTTGGCATTGGGGTTCATGTTAATGCGGGATAAAGTATCGGGTTCTATCATCATATGACGTGACAATGTGCTGGTTATGTGAGGGGGGTGACAAGCCTGCTAGACTTAGTCTACTCCGTACTTACGGAGTACAATGTCGACAGACTTGCGCACAAAAACCGGGTAATAGTTTCTTGCGTGGCAAGCAGACTAAACTTAACCTCCTTGCATGAGAGTGGAGTGTAGATCATTGGATGTATCGTGTGGCTATGTTTGCAGAGTAGCCACCCTAACAAATTGTCCTCAGCCGGGATCTCGCTGTCTGTGCGTCTGGGTAAAGTGTTAGAAGAGGAACTGAGGGTAATGCTTTCCCAATAATGTACATTAATTGCTTTGCTTTATGATCGAAAATCCGCTCCATCTATATACACCAGTATAGATAATATAAGTACCAAAATAAGACCACGCATTAAATCGCTCAATATGTATCTCAAAAAATAATAATGTAACAAGTATAAGTGTTGTGCAATGGACAGTCAGTATCCAAGTATGGGTTGATAAGAAGAAAGGGGAAAAAGTGACAAGAACAACAAATCGACGTGTGCTTCACCCATCGTAAAACATTCCGCACAACACCAGCGACAATTAATAGTGTTGAGGCTATTGTCCCACTGCTTGGTACCCACGACGGGTCGTCCAGTCGCTCTGCCTCCATTGCTTTTTGTACGTTTCCATCTCGGTCGGGTCCACGGCAGCACCCCCCTGACCCTCACCAAGAGCGCGCTCAAGGCGACCTTGGCGGCGTTGGCGCAGGAAGTACAGCACAAAGCCGGCGATACAGAGGGCAGCGAATGCGGCAGCACCGCAGTAGACGCCAATGTGGGCTGCTGTGCCCAGGTCGTCCCATTTCTGGGAGAGCGACTTGGCGGGTGCCTTCGAGATTTCTTTGGCGGCAGTGGAATTTCCACTAGAGATAAGGGCAGTTAGATGAATATTCCTTTACTCATCTGATGCAGCATCAATGATAGATAACTTACCTAACAACCTTGATACTGTCGTAAGAGCCATTGTGGCCAATGTATTCGTACTCCTTGCCCGAGGAAAAGTCCTGGACACGGATCTTCTGCACCGTCATAGTAAAGGGGAGGTTGGTCCAGTTGACCAAACCACCACCCCATTCGATATTTCCTACCGACTGAGACGGAATACCCACAGGCCAATTGCTGACCTTGACTCTGCACGGCGTTTGGGGATAGTTCTTGCCATAGACGGTGAGGGGTTCGGAGTAGTTGACCGTGCGCCTCAATTCGCCATCAATCCACCACTCCAGACGATCCTTGTCCCAGTATGAAGTGTAGTTGTGGAATTCGGTATCCGCGTTTTCGACGGCATGGTAGCCACCGCGATCACTCGTCGTTGTGTTTCCCTTTCCGAAGAAGTCTGATTGCACCTGACTGGTGTTGTATCCCACCCACTCCCAATCGATCTCGTCCAGATCGTCGGATTGCAGAATCACGCTGCTGATGATTCCTGCACCCTTGGCCATCTTGACATGTGCTTCCATGACGCCGAAAAAGATGTAAAAGTTCGACACCAACAAGGTGGAGGCGTTTTCGGTCTTGATGCTAAAGTCTGCTCCCTCCGATGTGTATTCTATTTCCCCCGTCTGCATGTCCCAAAGCTTGTCATCTAGCGTCTCGTTGAACCACCATGTGTGCTCTGTAGACAGCGCCGCGTCGGCGGGGCATGTGGTGTTGAGGGGGTTGCAATCGGTTTCATCGGCGGCCACCAGGTTGGCTAGCGCCCCCAGGAGCCAGGCATGGCGAAGATAGAGCATGACGGCGGATTTGTGAGGAGCGCGTGGTAGGAGTAATGGTGGTATGAGCCGTCTGGGGTGACCCGACTCAGGTGGTGGTGGTGGGTTATGCGGGATGGGGATGGGCGGGTTCGTGGCTGTTCTGGGGGAGGAATGACAGGAAGGGTTTCAGGTTCATGGCTCGTGGCAGGCAGGAAGGAGGAGGAGGAGCCCATTGACGGAGTTATAGCGCTGGAGATAAAAAAAAAAGTGCCTCTTTGGCTTCTAGCGAGCAAGCTATCGATAGCACAGAAGCAAAGATGGCCGCAGCCAATCAAGGAGCGAGTCGGCACTTAGTCTCCGAGGCATCGGCGGGGGCTAATCCCACTATAGGCAGCTTTCAGGGGCAAGGGCCCAAACCCAACTTTTAAAAATAGGGGCAATCTGCCATTTGTCCCTGAAAAAGGGACACCAGACGGTGTCTCTCGTTCAGCCTGGCTATTGGTAGCCACGATAGATCCACCTGGGACTTTCTTTACCCTTGAAATCTGGTTTTTGCTCGTGTCGCGGAGGAAGAGTTTTCCTTCCGTCTCTGCTCAGGAGACAGCTGAGCGGTTGGTCCGAGCCATCCGATAATAATGTTGTTGCAGCCGAGTTGGGGATCTGCTGATATGCAGTCGGACGATCCAATTAAAGCAACACAACTCCATGGCAGCAAGATTACAGGAGTTCGCAATTAAACTTGGGGTCCCTGGGGGCGAGTTGACTCGGAGTCAACACTAATGATAACTGGCTGTCGAGGGTTTTTCGGGTCAGCAACTTCTCCCCCGGGGATGGTTGCCCTTTCGAGTCATTCGGATCCATAACACCAGCCCATATTGGGATTAGCAAGCAAAACATTTTCCAGAGCCATTCCCAGACAGGAAGTTAAATTTCCAGATTAGTCAGAGCTTGGCGGGCTAGTGCGCAAAGCTTGACCGGGATAGGGTTAGTCGATCTGCCACTTTCCGGGAAGCGGTTTTGATAGGGTCGGATCTAATTTCGTTGATTGCAATTGCTGGCAGACCAGGGGCTGCATGGAAATGTGGGAGCCTGATCCTGAATGCTTGTCTCTCAAGTTGGAGCGCTGTCAGCCTGCGGTTCTTGCACAAGCATATACCAGAAGGCTTGGCTCTTCTGGAACGTTGACTTGGTGAAACATCCGCTCCAGCAGGCAGGTTCTGTTCTTGCAGTACAAAATATCTTGGATTAGATTAAGAGGGTGTTCCTACTACTGAGTGTACTACAAAAATGTCCGAAGCAGCCATCGGCTAGGTGACTGTAAATACTCAAGATGCTACTGACCGCTGTAATGCTCGACAAAGGCAAACAATGCCCTGTTTGACGGGACCAGTGGGAACAACGAAGAACGAGACAGGCCTAGGTTTGGAGAATCACTCCGTGTGATTTTATTTTATTTTATTTTATTTTATTTTATTTTTATTTTATTTTTTTTTTGTAGAATTATGCATTGTAAAGCCATCATTAGCCATAATACTAGTACTAAGCATCGGGGATACTATATATTCTGACGCCCTTCAAATTCACACGCAAGTCGGCACGAAGATCGTGTAGTACTCATGGCATTCTGAACCTGTGATGGCTAGAAGAACAATCATGATGCTTTCGTAGCATTCGGTAATTACTTTAAATGACCAAGCTTCCAAAGACAAACTAGACGCACAGAGACGGGTACATGGAAAGCTTTGGGTACATTGCACCCTCACTCAGATACCCCACCAGATCTACCCAGGGATATCCGGCTTATCTCCTATCCAACCTTCATATCTTTAATATCGCCCCAATCCACCTTGACCTGTAGCTCAAAAATAAGACAATGCGTACTTCCTCCAAAATGAAACATTCCAATCTCCTGGCCTTTCTTTACATAGTCGCCAGGTAACACCGACGTCTCGCACGACCCACGTTCCAAGATTCCCGAAAACCAGCAACACACGATACAGGGGTTATCTGGCTCCGCAATCGGTCGGGCGCCTTCGCGGAGTTTTCTGTTTAAGAACCCCTCCTATGAATCAAACCCCCAGTGGGGATTGCTGGGGTCGCATATGAAGGTTTTCTCGAAATCGCGCATGTTGGAAAGAGCATCGGGGCTGAACCAGCCATTAGGCTTGTCGGTTAAGACAGCTGCTAATTCTGTAGTGCGGAGAAGTCCGCCCCAGTCCTTGAGGATGTCATGCAAGGCATTCCTGACCTTTGAGTTGAGGAAGAATCCGTACCCAGATGGCGTGCGAATGTATGGCTCGATGAACCTGGTCAAGGGACTGCTGGCCCAGCGTTGGGTAGAAAATGCGGGCGTACTTCGAAAAAGACTGTCTAGTCGAACGATGGAGGTCGCAAGGTTGCTAGGGATGGTTGGATCTCCAGGGCGAGTTTGTGTGAACATCTCTGTCGAGATTTTGTAGAGATTGGGATCGCTCTCAGCTTGAGTTTATGTTGGTGGATGTGACCTGATATGCAACATTGTTGATGAGGTCCATGATGAAGTAATGCGAGAACGGGTGTGTTGCTATGGCTCAGATGTTCAGCCAAGATATAAAAGCTTGAACGCGTTAGCTGAGCATTTCCCAGAGCGTCGATGGGCTTTTGTGATGTTGATGCTTCCCCTCTTTCTACCCATGAATGAACACGGTTTGAGGCAAGACAACAGACGCATCGGAGGTCAGTCCTACAGCGGGCGGTAATCATTATCAACTGACCGTTATTCTTGACCAACCCTCTGCAACAATCCAAGATTGGTCGGAAACCAAGAAAACAGGCAATCGCCAGCCTATCATCCGAGTCGGGTCCGATGACATGATGGTATGCTTTGGCTTCTGATATTTTAGCTTCTTATTGTGGAACATTCCATTGAACGCTGAACCTGAAAATAACAAGTCGGAAATTATGCTGACATCAGAACCTAGGCTGGCTGACTCAATGTACAGGAATTTGTGGAACACAAATGACCTTTTTTGTGGTCTGATTCTATCATGACCCTACGTCATTTTGTATATTTCCATCAAAGACCGCATAGCCCGAAGGGACTTGGACATGCTTGCTCAGGAAGGCATGAAAATATGCGGTGAGCTGCACCAACTTCAATGTACGTCCTCATTGGTATAATGATAAGAACAGATTATCTGAGCAGGTGCCGTGTTACAGAGTTATAGATGGTATCTGAAGGCCCTTTGATATTAATGATCTCTAAGTAGCCAACTTATCATCCTGGCTCGACAGCCAAGACACTCAGTCTCGTTTCCAGACGATAGGTAAATGGCCCTCTTTCCCATAAACGGGATCAAGAGCTGGCGTAGACACCGATTCACAAATTAAACGTTTTCTATTTGTTTCCTCCGGTGAGTCAAGTGCCTCCTCGTAGTCCCATGGCTGAGCTCGGGAATTTTTGTCGTTCTATCACGCCGTCAGTCCAACTAAAGTGAGAACACAATAATATGCTGCTATCAACAGTAGCATTAACAACTTACTAGCGAATACCACCCGATAATCTCATAGTTGTCCGAGGTACTAGTGACACAATGTGTAACACCAGCCTGCGTAGACGTAAGTCCGTTAAGAACACCAGCATTTTACTTTATAGTTATATCTTTCCATATAGAGAGAAGAGAGATCATAACGTACAGGAAACACAAACACACCCCCCGCGCGAGCAGTGAACACCACACCAACCTCCTCACCATTGGCATCAACCTCGGGATCGAGGGATGACTTCCCCAGGCGGTATGTACCCGTCCCATGGAGGACTGTATATGCCTCATGGGTGACGGAGTGGTAATGAGGGACGGCTGCCAGTGTATTTTCTGCTATTTTCCAGTGGCCTCCATACACCCATTCAGACTGTTCTATGGCATCTGCGGCTCCTTGGGGTGTCTTGTCGATCAAGGCATTCCTGTAAACGAGGACGGGACGGGTTGAGTTGGGGGAGTGGGCTGTTGGAGGGACGGTGAGGGTTTCGGGTGGTACTTTGTTGACGAGCATTCTTGTTTATCCCAGGTGGGAGGGAGGGGGTGATGTAAATGTGCTATCTAGGTTGTTCTTAGGGGATGATAGAGAAGCAGTGATTCTGATAATACTTTAATATAATAGTAAAGATTCTGGAGAAGAGGAGCAGAAAGTGGGGTAGTACGATCTGACATTCTCCAATATCGGATGGGGCTCAATAGGGGTCAGCGGGTGAACTAACCCCAGTATACAAATCTCGCTAGTTGGACTTTTCTGGGATTTAAGAGCCCGGTAGTCCATTCCGATATGCGGAATATCTTTCCGATTGTTCCACTTAGGGTTTGCAGTGTCTTTAATCATATAATCTTACAACGCTACGGATGCCATTCCCGAGCCGTGAGAGTACTACCCCGCATGCAGGGATCCGAACGTGGATAGCATCAGCCGGTGCAGTATATCGCATATACGAGAGAATTACTCCAGGGGCTTTTGTGATTTGTGATATCACTTCAACGTAAAAATAGAGAGGTTAAAGCGAATGCATCTGGAGGAGGACATGAAAAGAGGTCTTTATTCTGGGGATCGTTCGGATATACCTGTGCCGCACCATATGTCTTTCAATCATGAGTCCGGCATGAGAGATCACAAGAGAATATTTCTTTATACGTTCGAGATTATGTCGTCTGACTTTTGCTAACATGCGCGCTTATGCCAAGCTCAAAGCATCACTAACAGGCATAACATACTCTTCCCAGTCATTTAGATCTGTGATAGACGCTGGTGACCTTTCTCGGGAAGACTTTGACCAACAAAAATCGCGAGACTTCCACACCTGCTCGATGACGACACGCGCCCGAGTCACACTAGAAACACTGCTTTTACTCATCTTCATAAGCAATTCCAAGACAAGCCTTCGTCCGTCCGTCATTTTCCCGGTATCCGGATCTAACATAATCGCAAGGTCAAGAGGATCTAGTTCCACGGCAGCAACAAAAAGAGGCCAGACGACCTGACAAGATGGCTCAATTGCGAGTAGCTCAACAATATCTTTCAATATTTTGCGCACGTAGGTCTTGGTTATGGAATCGGATGGTGTCAAGCCATACAATGCGCAGTTTAGATAGACAATTGAGGTCACTCTCTTTAGCTCGGCAATTCTCTGAATGACCTGGCTGTCTCCATCGATTTGCATCTCCTGCTTGATACCTTTCAATCTGTTAATCAGAGCAGAAGCTCTAACATTAAAGGCTTCGTGACCTTCATCGGCGATGACATGCCGTCTAGACCGACTCAGATCCATGATTGAGAATAAGACAGAGACAAGAGCAGGGCTGCAACCCATCCAAGGATTTATGGTCGTATCTTCTTCACGCCAATAGGTCGATCCAAAAAGCTCCGCTTTTCCACAGGCAGTCCGCCCCATCACGTCCTGGAAAGCGAAGAAAAGCTCCGTGAAAGACGATACCGGGTCTTGCTGTACACCTTGCGATGCACCTTTCAATGAGATCTGCTGTCGTCGGCGAAGTCGAATGATATCTTTTGCCCCCTGAAGATGTATAATCCACTGCTGATTGCAGTCATCAACAATGTCATATAAACATAAGAACATCATGATAACCAATATTTCGGGGTCTTCTGTGACTATATCCTGGGGATGCGTATTGATACGATGTCGGAGATGGTTCAGGACTCGAGCCTTTAGTTGCAGAGAAAGTTCGCTATACCTTGTGTCGCTCTGGGACCAGTGACAGGCGGCCAGCGCCTGTATTGCCTGCAGAACTGTGGGCGGAGCGGATACACAATAGGGAAGAATGACAGAGGCAAAGGGTGACATGGATAGAGGACTCTGTACCGTTCGAGGACATATCTGGTTCACGTAATAGTCGAACAGTACTTGATTTCCCAGATTATCTAGGGATGGAAATAGTGAGAGGGGTGATTGTAAGTTCTGTAACATTGCTTCTTTTATATCCATTAATTGGGCGGTATCGGGTGGCGATGTTGTGAAAGACGATGCTGGCTCACGAGGCCCCAGCTCCCCAAGGGCTGTTCTGGCATCGACGGCTGGGAGAAGATGTGGTTCGGTGTATCCTTGCTCCTCGGCATAAAGTCGTCGAATCAAGGAAGTATCGTTATTCACGAATGCCCAAGACTGAACCGTCGGGATCGCAACCCATGTAGTGTCTTCTGGGAAAGTCGAATCCCGTCCCGGAGCACCGGTTGGGTGATCAGGAGGCTTCCTATTCAGCCTCGACCTGCCAAAGGCGATACCCTTATCTCGATAAGTTGATTCCCATTTCAGCCGGAATATTGTCCGGCATTGTAGATCCTTTTGCCAGCATCGGGTGCAGATTGGCTTTTTCTCGTCGCATTTGAGTCTGCTCCGTCGGCAGTTTGTGCATCCTTGTTGAGAGCGGGAAGATGATTTACTGCTGCGTTTGTTCGTCTCCAGTTCCATAGTGGTCAGTCACAGATATCCAATGGTCACCGTTAAGTGCTCATATTGTAATTGTACAACTTTCTGCTTTTAAAGCAAGCTCTGGCGAGCAAAGAGTTCCAGAGCCGGGCGCTACGGCAGGTCGATGCGATATTAGAGTTCAGGGTGGGACCGGCGCAGTAGATCTCATTTGCTGGACCCCGTGGGAGTTAATTGAATTATTCATAAAGAACAGCTTTGCATGGTTCTGATTCCATGATGATAAGGGGAGATTTGTAAGGAATGGAAAGGCTTAATAAGCATGCCTTGCTGCCCGTTACGTTAGTTAAGTGTAACTAAATGCAAGTTCTTCATCATCACAGTATGCAGGTGGGCCCAACTCATAACCGCAGCTACGGTCGCCCACCGAGCAAACAATACTGGACTGATGCATTGGTCGTGCGAACAGTTCATGGTTTAATTCAGGCACCTATAGTGTATCATATTTCCACCAAGCAATCGTGAGACTAGTATATTTATGAATAGTTGACTTTCCTTTCGTACCTAGCACTTGCATTTAACCCCAGTCGACCCAGAAAAGATTAGTAGATATCTTACAAGACGAAAGTTCCGTGTCGCCTTCTAAGGAGCACATTCACGGGCGTTTTTCTGGGAAGTCCAGAATGAGACTACAGGAGTTGATTGTGTCGATAGCGCACGCATCCATTCTGTCATTTACTTGTGTGGGGGCACAGATGCAGGCCCTAATTTGGCTTCACGGGTGGGTACCAGACTAGACAGATCTCGATAGCATTGGGGAGGTATGTTTGACAGCCTTTGCTGAACTCAAGAACACGACGAAAAATGTCTTCTCACAGCAAATTTCTGTATGTTGATTAGTCTGTGGCTAATGAGTAAGTCGTCCGAAGTAATGGCTTGATATGGAAGTTACCCCATATGAACACCCAGCAAGTCCACAGGTCTTGCGCATGTTCAACGAATAGACTCCCTATGAGGTGGTAAAAATGTGACCATGCTTGTCTCTTATACGGGAAGTGCATCTATGACCTCTAGGAGGCATGCGTAAGCACAGCTCCGACCATGGTCGGGATGGCTATAAACGGATCGTCGTTATCGACATGAAGGACAGAGAAGACGGCCAAGAGGCTAGACAAAGCTTGTCCCAATCAAAGCTATAGCTAAAGATAGGGGCATTAGCGGGGTATATGTGCGATAAGGCTGAACAGCTCCTGTGTTCTGAGCGTCGGGTTGAACCATTCGGAGAAATGAGGAAGTCACGGTTGTCCAATACAGTGGTGGTGAGGTGACATTCCATGTGCCTGAGATAGGAAGAGTATTAACGCTCTATATTAAATTGATAAGAAATGACCTGGTGACTCATGATGACAAGGAGATGAAGGCGCAGCAGGGGGACGTGCGCTGAGTTGGAAAGAGGTGGTGCTGACGACAGTATGCCGTGGTTTGATAGCGAGACGTGACACCGGATGTTGTGTGATGTGTGATGTTCGGACGAACCGTGCTACTTGGCTAAGATTTGCCAAACTCGTCCTTGGGATATAATGGAGGTTTGCCCCCTCGAAGCTTAGCGCCATTAAAGGTTCCCATTGCGAATATCCTGACCGCCTCAGGCAGCGAGGAGAACACGCAACGGACGCGAGCTGGCCAATCAGGGGGGTTCCATCACATGGCCGGCCAGAATCCCGGCATTTTCTGTTGTTTCCCGTTGGATCTCCGCGTCTGCCTCACTTTCCATCAGAGTCCAGATCCTCCCCATTCATTTGACAGGTTCCAATCATCTTCATCCATTCTGAGTCATGCAGGCCAAATTCAATGTCTTATCGGCTTCCTTCGGACGCGTTGAGTCACGTCTGCTCCGTCGGACTCCCGGACAGGCATCGCGCGGGGGAGCGGCTTATCACTGGCAGATTAATCGTATTCGCTGACTGCAGTAGCGCCGTCCGTTCGCCATGCACGATAAATTAGCTCGCCATCTTCTGTCCATCTTTTTAAATCCCAGGGCCCTTCTTTTTGCCATTCTCGACACAGAGAAAACACCAATTTCAACAGTCCTGTCCGAACGATGGTGCCTTCCATCGCCCCTGGAGAGGCGGCTGTTGTTCTCTTTGTCTCGATTTCGTTGGGGACCATCCCGCCGGCCAAGAGATTGATCAAAGCGAGACGGAAACACGCGAACCCGGACGACATCCGGTATGAGGATAAAGATGGAATTGCCACAAAAGAATCCACCTCTCAGTTGTCAAACCAGCGTCCTTTCGTTGCTATTTTTTTGCTCGGTCTTTGTGGATTAGGTCTGTCTTTTGCAAACTTGATCGTTGCGGCAATTAGCATTCATGGGAGAAAGGGACCTGCCTCACTAGGAATCTGGCTGCTGCCGCCAGCATGGGTGCGTCGACACTCTCCCACCACCGGAGAGGTCACATTGGGAATGGACTGCTGACAATTCATAGCTACTTTTGCTGGTGCAATTCGCAGACTCAGTTACCCAGACGCACCCAGTTGCGCGATTCGAGAGCGTGATATGGAAGCAGGCAACAATTGTTCTGATTGGGGCTATTGCTCTTTCCGTACTCGCAAGCGA